TCGTAATTTTTCTTTTTGAATGCTTAAGTATTCCAATATGCTACCAATTAAACATGGAACCATTTCAAAATAATGCTTAATAACAAAGTTGAAATTTGATCTCCAACTGTCAAAATCTTCTAGAAATTTTTTTCGCGTTTTAGCGTGCTGTGTTGCCAGAGTGTCATTTGAGAAATCGGGTTGAGCTTTGTGTTTGAGTTGTTCATGCAATGAAATGATTGTATCATACAATGAATTCGTTGTATCATGGGATTAATGCGTTTAAGCCTGTTTGGAAATTTTGTAGACAAAACTGAGCATTTTGCGATTGGTAGTTGGAAAGTTTACTCTAGTTCTTTAAGTGTCGGTTCAGAAATATAAAAAATGCGGTGTGCAGTAATTTCATTTGTATTAAAATTTACATATCATCCGCGGCACCACAAACCGCATATTCCGTCGTAAATAATAGGAAATTAACATTGGGTCATTGTTTGGACTTCCGTCTCTTGAATCGTAATGTACTATTTCTGCAAGGATACATTTTCAGCTAACGCTATACTTTATTGCACAACTGGCAACTGTGCTAATCTACAAAATAAATACATTTTTGTTACTTTTAATTTTCAAGTCTAAAATCTGCTGCAAAGCATCTTGTAATTATAAGGAAGATTTATAAAAAAATAACTAAATGTGACAAAGACTAAATAAGCCATATTTAATCACATTTAGCAGACAGGAAGAAAGCACGCCCGGCAGTGATTTCCACTGACGTCACCCAAATCGACGCAAGATCCTACCTTGTATTCATTTTATCCTGGTGCAAAGCTGTCTGTAGTTAGGGTTAACCTTAATCCAAAGTTATCCCTAGCTAAGAATAAGTTTTAAGGAAGACTGGTGCACAGAACATACCCCATAGAAGGGATATTTTGTGGACTGGTGCAAATGGCCGTCAAGGAAAGTCTTCTGTAAGGTTAGAATAAACAAAACTGCAAATTCGGAGGGACTCGAACGACAGGAGCACCCGTCTGCTATATTTAGCAAGTGCCAGGTGGTTCCCCAGAATTTAAGGGTAAGTCCCTATTTATAAACCATACTCCAGCCACAGAACATACCCCCCCCCCGGGGGGGATATTTTGTGTCCAGCGCAGGGTGACCAGAGAGAAAAGTGCGGCTAATTGTAGCCCCCTTCGAATACATTGTTGCCAGATTTCAGCTTGATTTGAAGCGTTATTATAGGAAGAAAGAGAGAGAGAGAGAGAGAAAATGAGGAAGATCTTCTTATTTATTTAACAAGTTATTTAAAATATCGATAAAATAAATGATTTCCGATTTAAAACGTCTACCAAAAATCCGTTTAAGATTTAGTGTTGAAAAATAAAAAAAAATAATTAAAATAATAATAATCATTTCTTGGTTTCTTCTTTTATGATAATTTGTTTCCCTAACTAATATATCTGCGTTGTTAAATTCAAAATTATGCAACATTTGGTGTGCATGTTGTGTTAATGATGTTTTATTTTCACTAGTATTTCTCAGACCGTATTTATGTTCGTACATTTTCTTTTTTAAATATTGAAAAATGCCGAAACGTAATGAAATAAACGATATTCAAAAAATTTTTGCTTCACACTTTGAGTGAGACCCAGGAAAGATAAGAATATCAAGTGCACGCAGTCACGAAAATAAATCAGAATTTAGCATTAAGTTTTTTAAAATGCAATTGACAAGAAATTTAAAATGTTTTTGTTTTAGATGCCAGGTGGAGTTGTTTGTAGTGTGTTTATGTGCAAAAATAATTCAAAAAAAGCAAAGGAGAATGCAGAGAAACTATCTTTTTTTTCTTTTCCAAAGGATCTCAAGGTTCAAAAAGAATGGATACGAAAATGTTATCGCAAAGATATGTCGCATGTTGCAAATAAAAGAATTTGTAGCAAACATTTTAAACCAGACGACTTTGAAGATGCGCTGCAGGCTACAATAATGAATACACATCCAAAACGCCTAAAAAAATGTGGTACGAATTTTTAGTTGCTTGAGTTTTATTATTATCATTTTTTTGTTGCGTTCTTTAGTTGCCTACTATAGTGCGATACTACAGTAGGTACCTAGTTTTTGATATGCGATACTTACGAGGATACCTGCCTTGCAATTATCAATTTACATTTTTTTAGCTGTTCCTTCATTATACTTGTCGAATGCTCTAGATCTAGAAAAGCACAACAATGAAAGTGAAAGGGTGAAGAAAAGGATACGCAAAGAAAAGAAAGCTATTGTAGAAAAATTAATTACTAGGAATGTCACTAAACTACAAGAGAAAACACTTAGCAATGAAACAGAATATGAGACATTAAAAAAGAAAATTGAAGATTTGGAGAATGAAAACCTGTGTTTAAAGGAGAGAATATATCACTTCGAAAATGAACAAAAATAGCTGCAACAGCATATTTGCCAATTAGAACAACAAAAAAAACATAACTTTGTAGACAGATCCAAATCTACAATTGCGGCTTATGCCAGAAACAAGCTCTTCCAAGTAGTTTTTTTTTGTAAAATTGGGTTCTACAACAGTCGCATAACGTTCTACTCGGTATAAATGGATATAATGGAAATGAGCCTCATATACTACAGATAAAGTTGTTCCTTCATTCTATTGGCCAATGAGTGACAGCGTCCCACATTTTCTTCACATATAATCAACTTAATCACGCAATTTGAAGAAAATTTATTTTACTACCATGGCTGGAAATAAATATGGCTTTATTTGATTCGGATGAAGACGATATCTTTGATAACATAGTGGCAGTACTACAGCGGAGACCTAAAGTTTCTAAAAATCAGTAAGTAACTTCTAATCTATATTTTTAGTGAATAATATTGGTAAAACTATTTTGTTTTAGTCCCAATTACTTGACATAATTGATAAAAAAGATGTAAACCCACCAATTGAATTCAATTTGGAAAATGTGGCAAATGTATTACCGCCTCGAAATGATACATTTATCTATGCTAATAATAGAATTGCACATTTACTAGGTAATTAATTGGAAAATAAAGATCAAACGTGATCTATCATATTGTTTTATTTTGAATCTGCGATTCTAAAACTCTCACTTTTAAGAATGAGTCACTTCTATCATCAGTTTCATTTTCAGTTCATGCATTTCTGTTTTCCTCTCGTGCTTATGTAGTGCTTCTTACTCCAGCAATTTTTCCTGGAAATCTCTTGATTTTCATAAATTAAGCTTCCCAGTTTCTCGGTTGTTCTCCTTTCCTTCGTTTTTCTAAAACTAGCTTTAAATTCAGGGGGGGTTATGTAGAAAAAATACAGTCTTCTGTTGTCTGTGAAATTAGAAAAATGATCGTCGTTTTGTGCAAGAGTGGCGCAAGATTATTGCAAAATTTCATGTTTTCCGTCCCGTTTTGCATGTTTCTCGGAAGCAAAATGAGCA